AATAATAAGGATAATGATGATAAAAGTAGTAATATGCGTAGTAATATATGTAGTAATATAGGTAGTTATATATATGACTGCATAAAACTATACAACTATATATATATGTCGTGAATTATATAATATAATATAATGGGAATAATATGTTGGAATATGGGAGATTATTATATTTAAAATAACACAAAAGCACAATAACTTTTGAAACACTAAATGTATTTATTATTTAAGAAAAACGACTTGGAAGGTCCTCTTTGAATAACTATATTTTATACGTGTGAAAATTATAATATCAGAGAAACAATGACAAAGAAATACATGGATTTTATTTTGTTAACATGCATAGATCCGATAAAAATCGAGCGGTATCTTTTTCCTTTGCTCTTGCAACAAATATTGGTATTCATATAACAAATCGGCTGCAAACGCAAAAAAATAATAATAATCATAAATAAATTTAATATTACTTTTATTATATATAATCTGTAGTATTATTTAACCCTTTTATTCTCTTTCCTGCAATTTTCTTCAGATTTTTTGTTTCCTCACTAGGGCCTAATGATACCTTTTATTTCATCAAAGTGTATACGCTACTGAGGACTTCTACGGATAGCTTACTGCGCATACACTGGGACTGCCCAACACTGCCTTCACGACATATATACCGTATATAGCCGGTGGGAAAACGTTTTGTATGCTTTCTATATTATCACTCTTTTCCCTGCTGACATATTTTTGTTCACCGTATATATGATTAACGAAGAAGGAAGCTTCTTGAACTTAGCCACGTAGCGTAGGTCGGCATGATTTCCCGTTGAACGAACAAGTTTTGTATCGAATGATCTGCTCTCGTTGAACATGGGATACGTGTACAATTTATGCCACGATGAAAACTCAAAATGAATACTGATTTTGAAATTTTTCGTTGAAAGTTTATTTCAGTCAATACAATCTCTATATTTTAAGTTTATGTATATAGAAGTACATAGCAAGTAACGAATTTTCAGTTTTTAGTATCGTACATTTGACTACAATAGTTCGCACATTTGCCACACGATACGCTCTTCTCCCAAGCTTTCTATTTTAGAAATGGACAGCAATCTTCTCTTATTTGCAAAACGATATAGAAATTTTGCGAAGCGATCCCTAACAGCGGCTCACTGTATTTAAAGTTTCTTCTATAAACAAAATAATATTGGATAAAAGAATCCCTAACTGTTCACAATTTTGTAAGAGTCACGCTAAGTTATTCTTCTTTGGACATTGCAGTGCTACAATGTACACAAGCAACACTATAGCGAAGTCTTAAAGTTTCAAAGAACCGCAACGATTTGGAGAGGAAAACTGAGAGCTTACGTATTGCGAAGACGAAATTGGGAACAATAGTTAATTATATCTGTCGAAGTTTCTTTACGATTTATAAGTCGTTTTAAATCATGTCCGTGACCTTTGCTCAACGCGGTAGGCCGCCACCAAATCCTGCCCAAATACAGAAGGTAATGAATCTTGCAGATTAATATCATAACAGTACCTTGATGTTGGTTTTATATATTCTTGTATAATAACCTTTTATTATTAAACTATAGATGCTTGATGAAAATAGTCAGCTTATACAAACAATACAGGAATATCAAAGTAAAGGAAAACCACAAGAATGTATACAGTAAGTAAAACTTGTTTTTAATGTTTTGCCCAAAACAAATATTTAAGAAGTATTTATTATAGTAATAATATACTTGCAACATGATTCTTGCTTAGGTACCAACAAATGCTGCATCGCAATTTAGTATATTTAGCATCAATTGCTGATGCAAATCAAAATATACAAGCATTATTACCGGTAAGAAATATTTAATTTATTTTGCATGTTTGTTATTACAATGAATATTTTAAATGTTTATAATACATAAATTAGAAACATGCTAAGGGTATCTTTGTTTCTATGATAAGCCTCCGCAAGGAATTCCTAATGGTCCTCAACATGGTATGATGAATCCACAAGGTCTACCAAATGCCCCTACAGGAACTAGTGGACCTGGAGGAGAGATACCTCCATCCAATCAGCCAACATTACCTATGTCAAGTTTTAGCCAAGGACAACCAATGTCACAAGGTGGATATCGTGGTCCTGTAATGCCTGGACAAGGACCTGCTATAAGTAGTAAGTTTTATTTCAGTTTGAAATTGTTTCTATAAAGTGGTACTCTACTTTAAATTTGCTATTTTGTCTTTTTTAAAAGGACCACCTACTGCACCTGGTCCACAGCAATATAGAGGACCCCAAGGTTATCCTCAACAACCTTCACAACAAGGTTATCCTGCTCAGTATGCCAATCAAAATTCTGGATCCAATTATCAAGGACCACAAGGATCTGCATACACCCCAGGACAACCAAATCAGTATGGACCACCAAATACTTCACAACAACAAGGATATAGTACATCCAACCAGCCAAACTATGGACCTCCAACTACGGTAAATAGTTATGGTCCCCAACCGGGTGGATATCCACCACCGGGAAGCACGCAACCTCCTACGGGTTATGGTCCACCGCCGCCGAATCAGCAGGGCTATCCTCCTTCTAATCCTTCTCAACAAAATTTCCCATCAAGCGGTCAACAACAACAACCGGGACAGTATGGTAGTCCTAGCCCACAGCCAAATTATCAACAACCACCATCACAAGCTCCACCTCAGAATGCATATGGAGGTGGTCAACCTGGCAATTATCCTCCTCCATCATCTCAAGCATATGCCAATAATGTTCCACCTCAGAATTATGCAGCTCCTCCCACCTCTAGTGCTCAGCCTCCACAACCTGGTTCTCAACAAAATACTGGACCTCAGCCTAATTATGGTAACCAACCAAGTCCTGGTCCTGGTGCAACTCAGTATGGTCCAGTTTCTACGTCTCCTCCGTTTAGTACTGCCTCTGCCAGTGGAATCAATACTTATGCTCAAAGTAGCCAACCAACGAGTACACCGTCTGCTTCAACTCAAACTTATCCACCGAGTAGTGGTCCACCGCCTACTTCGCAAGGCGGAAATTATGCTCCCCCAGGCCCTGCTCCATCTGGCTATCCAGTGCACCAAACGCCTCATCCGACGTCGCATCCACCGCATCAACCGCCACATCAGTCTCCGCATCAACCTTCTCATGCTCCCCATCAACCACCTCATCAACCATCTCATCAGTCTTCTCATCAACCTCCTTCGCATCAATCGCCGCATCAACCACAACAGTCTCAACAACAATCTCAAACACCACCACAATCACAACAACAATCTCAGAGTCCTGCCCCAAGCGGATTTCAACCACCATCAGGACCTCCTCAAGGTCCTGCTCCACCACCGGGGCCACAACCGCAACCTGGCTACGGTCCAGCCACTACTCAGACATATGTGCCACCAACGCCTGGTGGTCAGCCACAGGTATGATTATTTGAAAAATATGGAACCTTTGCCAATTATTGTGAATGAATTGATTTAACATTAAATTAATTGCAGGTATACACTCCTCATCCTCCTCAGGGTGGTCAGCATTATGGACATCCACAGTATCCTCCTCAGAGTTATCCACCACCACCAACAGGTCAAGGATATCCGCAATATCCACCGCGGCCACCTGGTGGTCACATGCCTCCTCCACCTGGACCTCAGGGACCTCCACCACCAAATCAGTACGGAGGTTATGGATACCAACCACCACCACAATAAAGTATATGTTAATGTAAATTCGTATAATAATCAAATTTAATATAAAAACAATTCAGTTGCAAATTTGTAACAAATGACATATAACATCTTTACTTTAAGAATTTAATTCTAAATAGCATATCGTCCAATGTTATATAATGAGGCAAATAATAGAAAATTATATATAAGGAAAAGTGCTGCTAAAATTTCATTAAAATTATCATGAGGAATTTCATTACAAGATACTTTAACATTGAAATGATTTGTGTAAGTTGCATCTTGTATATGCGTTTTAATATGTTCAAAAAGCTGCCTACTTCAAAAATTTTATTTAATTATGAATAATAAAGGTTTGGAAACATCTTAATTCTTAAGATATTATCATAAACTATTTTATTGTAATATTACAGTTTCAGTTTCATGCATTTGCGGTTCCATATTTATAGAGATGTATGATGCAAACTGTGCATTTTTATTATTTAATTTTAATACATAAACTTATGCATCATTTAAAAATCTGTGTAGCTTGGGAATTTCGGTGTGCACAATGCAGCATAAACATATCTGTTACACCGAAATAAAGTGTATGAAACAAGATTCAACATACATTACCTATTTATAGCTTCCAATGTATACGTCTGCCTTAGAATTAATTTTATATTTACTTACTTAATTTTATATTTTTTTTTATTACCATTAAAAATTTTATGGATTTACAATCTAACCCTTATCTAACCCTTGAAAAAGTATGTTAACAACTGATATATTTTTTGTATTTTACTTTAAAAAATACTATCTTTTGTTTTACATGTATGGGTACTAATATGTATAAAATATAGATTTTGATCGTGAATTTTATTTGACAAAAGTAAACAATAAAAAGTAGAAAAAGATTTTATCAATATGTATAATTTTAAACTTGAGTTGCAATTACGATATTAGGAACACTAAAGCTCTTCTTTTAGGTTCCTATTATTATCGTAACATTTACAAGAATGTTTAGGCTGCAGCACTTCTTCCATATTATCTAGTATCTTAACTTCACTTTTCAAGCGTTTACTCCATTCCTGAAATGTAAAGAGGTTCTTTTATAACTTATATTCGAAAAAGGAAATATGAAATAAAACTTTTGGTTATGGTACTTACATAAAACAAAGCTACATGATAACATAATATATTATGTGGCAGCAAATTGTCTCTTACAAACTGTCTAGCAGATTTGATAACCTGTAGTGCTTCTTCATCATGATTTTTAGCCCATACAATTTGTTCAACCAAATCTGACAAATCGCTTTTGACTGGTATATAATGTTTTCCAGACACAAGATCATTGTAAAAAAATTCATAATACTTTGATTCTTGTTTTAATACTAAAGCATCCCCAGCAAGCAGATATGGAAATCGATATGCGGCTACTGTACCATCGATATTTAACTGATACTTGTACTACAAAAGTGTTGGTAATGTTACATTATTCGGCTGTTGCGAAATTAAAATTACATGCTTATGAACATACATTCTTTTACCTTAAAAAAATTGAAAAAAGATACATGACTTTGGCCAGGGCCATATTTATCCATTTCACCTTTAAAGAAAAAGAAGTTTGTAATCGAGACATTAAACAGGTCAGGATATTTTCTTGAAATATCGATTAAATCAAGTCTTTCCCTGCACGAATCACGTCCACGCCAGAATAATTTATCTATCTTTTTTTCCCATGGTGTATCTGTATTACCTTGTACAGATAATATATCTAACATTACCCTGTTTCATTTGTATCAATCAATGCATAAATGTTTAGGATTTATACAATGTATTAATCTTCTAGATAAATTATCTAAAATATAGATATAATTTATACCTTCCCATTGCTTCTAATGATGACTCTGTGATATCATAAGTGGGCATAACAATATCTTTTGTGTCATATGAGCCACACCAAGAAAAGATAGGATAATTCTTGCCATTTTTTGCAACAAGTGGCCAATCTCCCAAGTTCACAAAGAATTCAATGTCTGGCAAAATAACTTTTCGTGTAATAGATAACAAAATGGAATCCATAAATATTTTGAAGCCTACATGTTGACCATGACATTCCCTGAAAATCTTATTTTTACCTAGTTTAATTCAAATACAGTTATGAACCAAGTACAGTGGTACTTACTTTATTAGATTTAACTACATAATGACAAAGACTGATGCTTCCAGGTCGATCATATGCTTTGACAATATCTTTACGTATTTTGTCAAAATCCACATCTATAAAGTCAGCAAGATCATTGTGTATTTGTGTATAATTCTTTGTACATTCAAAGTTTTCCAACCAGTTATCAATATCTGGATTTGGACAATAACATTCTTCTTCATAAGCAGGTTCTAAAAATATGTATGAAGTTTTTGTTACTGTATAAAAATAAAAATCTGGTAGAAATGAAATTTAATAATACCTTTAGCTTCCAATGATAAAATAGGTAAATTACGTTGTTTTAATCCTATCTTCAATTTTAAATTGAAACATGTATTATGTAATTTATAACGAATAATAAAATTTCCATCTTTGCAATCTAAAATTTGTGTCCATATATGACATGCATGACCTGTTGAACTTTGGCCTTGTATAGAAACATTGATCATATCTTCTCCAGGTGATTCTGTTAAACTTACAAATAAAAAGAGCAATTTTTCAGTACATAGAACATATGTAATAAGTTAATGAATTAGAAAGTTATATTTTAAGATCGAGTTTAATGAAAATTCTTTCAAACTTAAATAACATTAAGTATTTCTATTTTATGTATTACATATAATAAAAACAAAAATATACTTTTTTCCTTCTGTATCAACAAACTGAAGAAAAATATATCTTGCTCGCATCGTTACTTTGTCCGGTTTTAATCCTGGGCCCCAAATTATTGTTTTCGATGGATCTACTTCAACATTTTTTACTTCATGACAAGCAAATAACAATAAAATCCATATAAATATCATTTTTGTTAACAATATCATTCCGGCAGAAACACAAACAAAAACCCGTCAAATGAATATGTCATTACTTACTAAATGTTACTAGGCAAGGAGTTCCCGTTCTTTCTGCGCATGTTCTTTTTTACACGTTGTAATCATGGAAATTCATATGTGTTCTTATGACAAGTATATCACCTAAAATAATAATAAAATGTCATAGTTTCTAATTATATTTTGCTATATTCATATATTTGATAAATACATTTTAGAAATTGGAAATATAATTGTTTAATGAGAGAACATACTTGTTGTTTGACTATTTTTCGTTCGTTCTACGCACGTCCATTTTGATTGGTTTTAGTATGCATGGTAACCAAGAGCAACGTGCATGCGTACTTGCAATGTTTAAAACTCCAAGTGCATATATACCCACTGATCTTTCATTTATACTTCACATGTCATTAGGTTTCCTTCTGCTTTCGTGCTTTTGGCTATTATGTATGTGACTCACTAGGTAGAAAACGCATCATAGTGAGACAACTCTCGGTAGAGACAAGCCTACTGAAGTTAACCGAGTTGCACGGAACAAAGTATATTCTCTTGTTGAACGGTACATAAAGTTAGTGCAATTTTTTATGGAACAGAGTATATATTTTCAAACGAATTTCATTATTTGACTATTTGTGTTCTTAAAATCAAGAAACAGTGACGGATAAATACTCGAAGTTGATGAACTACAACTACTTTTTTAATGATGTTTTTATTTATGCAGGAATATTTTATTTAGTGATAAATACCAATAGATATAACAAAAATAATTACTGGAAGATCAATGCTAGAATGAAATTTCAACTATCATGTACAATGACAAAAATGAACAGGATCTGAAGCTCTTTTAATCACTGTCAAACGAATGTTGTTTCATGACAGACATCATGTAAGGATCCGTCCCTAGTATCGCCTCGCAATTTTGCACGACTTTTCCCGTTAGATTATTTTTGTTTACAAAAATTACAATAATTGTTTGTTCGCTGTTTTTGAACAATGGAAGAAGCAGTTGAGTAAAATGCATGCAGTAAACATAAATGCTTGTTACATGATGGAGATGTGCCGAATTTGTTGCATAGAAAATTCTGTTAATTCTCAGGTGGAAAATTCTCAAATTTTTGGATTTGCCGCAAAGTGATATCTCAGGAACATGATTTTTGACTGCTCGAAATAATAACAGTTTTGTATTGGCTCGAAAATTTAAACATCAAAAATAGCATAGAAATTAAATAACTAAACAATTTTAGTATAAAATGGAGTGTAACATCGACGATTTACCAGACGTTTTGCTAGAATATATTTTAAGTCTAATTCCACCATACAAAGATTTGCAAGAATGTAAGCTTGTATCCAAAAGATGGTTCCGTGCCACTAAAAGTATGTAAATTTTGTTAATTTTTTATTTCTGTTTATAAACCTTACATTATAATCAATAATAAAATTCTTATTTTTGTAACAGATGTAATACAGCACAATAAAGCGCACTTTCATAAATCTGTGGCTTATGGCTCATTACTTTGGAGTCCATGGCCATCTACGCACTGGATGCCAACTATTGCCAAGAGACATTCACATTCTGCTTGTACATACGAAAACTCTATGTATGTTTTTGGTGGATGTACAGCTACATCTACAACATTTAATGATTTATGGAGATTAGATTTGGACACAAGAACATGGGTTAGATTAATCACTATGGGTAGCTATCCATCTCCTAAAGCTTGTGCTACTATGTTATACTATAAAAAAAGCTTCATTTTGTTTGGTGGATGGTCACATCCATCACCATATCCATTACATCAGGTACATTTAACTTCAATTATAAGTAATAAAACTCCAATGTTGTATATTCCTACATGTTGTCACACATATTTTCAGCAATGGAAATTATTCAATGAGTTGCATGTGTATTCTATAGAATCAAATAAATGGAATGCTATAAATACATTGGAAACACCTCCGCCCACTTCAGCTCACTCTGCATCAATCCATAAAAATCATATGGTTGTTTTTGGTGGTATATGCAATGGATACAGGTAATATGTTTAAAAGTGTTGAATTTTATCTTGGTATTTTAGTTTAATCTCATAACAAAATGTTATTTTGAGGTAGATCCAATGACATATGGTGTTTGAATCTGGATTCGTATAGTTGGCATAAGCAAGCCACTTCAAACCTAAAGCCACAACCACGCTATGGTCAATCTCAAATTGAACTTGGAGATAAACACCTTCTTGTTCTAGGTGAATATTCTGGATATTGTATCTATTATATTTTGACAAAGGAAAGAAAATTTCTTTGAAATAATGGAGCACATTTAAATATTTGAAAAATTAGGAGGGTGTACTGGACCGAATATTGCTATGAATGATGCTTGGTTATTGAAAATGGAAGGTGCAGCTTGGACATGGAAAAAAGTGAACATGCATAATACAGAATGGGCACCCACGCGTATTTGGTGTCATCAAGCTTGCAAAGTGAGCATGTCTTAAATATTATTGATTATAAATTGTAATGTTTTATGTCACTTACTTGTTTTATAATTTAATAGGTGGGAAATTACGTTATTGTTCTCAGTATAAATAAATGTCAAAATAAACCAAATGATATGAGTATATCACTGAAGAAAGTTACTTGTCAAAAGACAGTCACACCACCACCAAGTGATTCGACTTCTTTACATGCAAGGTTTGGTTGTTCAAATCTGCTATTAGTACTAACACCTGCTTGACGTAAATTTCAAATTATATCTGGTTTCAGACAAGGGAATTTATCAAATATTGATAGAGATGTAAACGTTAATGGTCGGCATGGATCTTTTGCCAGAGTGTCTGTGAAAACACCTCGTCCTTCATCTCATCCTTCTAACTTTACAAAAAGTTTAACACTGTGTAATGATAATGTTTTAAGCATGGCTGCTTTTCGTGATGAACCAGTGCGTAATGGCACTAATAGTAATCGACAACGGCAACTAGAATCTCTTCGTAGAATGGAAGAAAGTATTAGAAATCGAAGAATGCATTCAAAACCTACTAAAAAAACAGGAAACACGTTATCCATATTTGTGTTGGATATTACGAATGTCTTATGTGACGAGTGTACAGCTTCATGGATTCCTTTGAAGCATAATAATCAATCAGGCCCCGATGAAAGGATACTTTATTCGCTTGTAGCCGGTCGAGGTGAATTAATAGTATTTGGCGGTATCCGTAAGGAACAAACATCTATACAAAATCATTCTGACATGGACGAGTCCGAAGTTTATAATGATCTCCATTTTATAAATCCGCCAAGATATGTGATTTAATATCTTGTAACAATAAATAATATAATTCAATGTTCAATGAAAAAGATCTTTATTTTGTTAGTAACAAATTTAGTACTGCCATAGATTGTTCACTGGAAATTATTTTGACTTGCAAATAAAAATGGTAGTACTATAAAAAGAAACTTAACAAACATCTCTGTCATAAATTACTTGTAAAAACATTATTTTATTTATTTCATCTTTTTCTCTTTCTTTTTTTCTCGAAAGAAATATTGTACATGATTGAAATTTGTGATTAATAGATTTAGGTATATAATTACAAATTCTTTTATTGTAAATTTTACTATTTGCATGTGTCTTGCACACTATAATTTATGTATGCTTTAGTCATCTTCTCCTTCAGTTGTTTTTAGACTACCAAACACTTGTGATGGAATACTTTGTTTTTCTATAGGTATATCTGAAAGTAAGGACGAATTAATAAATAAAGAAATAAAATAGGTGTGTTGCTACAAAGAGTGTCCAACATGATTTATAAATATATTACATGTAATAAAATGTAATAAAAATTTGAACACATTATTAGGAATTATTTATTACCTTCTTCTATATCAGCTTCATTGTCGTTAACTTCTTCATCTACATCGATGTCAATTTCGTCTGGGTTATTTACTTGTGATTCCGGTCTACCGTCTTTTTCAGTTACACCGCGAACAAACTTAATGCTATCCTTATACGTAGTAACATTCTCTGTAAAGTCACATTATCGTTTTAATAACCCATAGTACTTAAATGCATAAATTGAAAAATATTTTTCTGTATAAAGTAGAACAATCAAACCTGTATTTGGTACTTTACTATCCAGAAGTCGCATTGCGTCTAATGGTACGTCAGATGGTGGATTTGTAGCATTATTTAACATTTGAGCAGACATCATGTTTACTTGAGTATTATACATAGCTTGAACACTACGTTTAATTCGAAGCATTTCACGCATTGTATCTTCATTACCGTGTCTCACTTCAAATTCTTTCCATATTTGCCAGAAATTAGATGTTACCTGTACGTAATATAAAAATGTATATAACATACAAAAGTATATTACTTTACAAATATTATTTTACGACATTAATATTTCTTACCCTTGGATCACAAATTTGACTACAGTGTGCATATATTGCACGAGCCCTGTCGACTTCTCCTAACTTCGTTTCCATTTCTGCAAATCGTAGGCACATTTCTCTCGTATTTTCTTCATTAAGTACCTCAATAGCTTTTTCGTAAATTTGTCTCGTTTTTGGAACACCGTATATGTCCGCTGCTTTCTTTATATATATGTTGAACATCTAACATTCAAATTTTATGTATTATATTCTTTAGTACAATGCTATTTTAAAGTAAAGACAACATATTTATTAAAACAAATATTATACCTCAAACCTCTCTTCAGGAAGAACAGCACTTGTTGCTCGTTCATACACGGACATTGCATGCCTAGCTAAACCATGCTCTTCTTCCAATTTGGCATACAATAAATACAAGGCTGTGACAAAGAAACAAAATAAATGAATAATGATCGTTGGCAATTATATAATTGTATAATAAAATATAGTACCTTTGGCGTATTTTGGTGGACAATGTTCTAAGCACTGTTCAAATAAATCTCGCGTTCGTTCTAATTTTGTACCACCATAACGTTTTAAAAATTTCGTGAGATAAGTATTCCATATATCATAAACGTTGGGCCACTTGAAAAGTGCAATTCCTTTTTCATATGCCTGTAAGGTGATACAATTATTAAAAATTGAAGATATCAACTATAATTATAAGATAATTTTTTACATACCCTAAAAGCTTCTTCAAAGTATTTATTTTCTTCTAGGAACAAACCATAATTAATAATAATTTGTGGCGTTGCAATTTTCAAGTCAATGATTTTATCATACACTGCTTTACACGTCTTAAATGTACCAAAGCTTTCTTCCAAGTCAGCATACATAGACCATACTTTTAATGATTTATACAATCTCATTTGAACAGTTTCAGTTTCATCATGATAAGCTACTTTGCGGAATGGCATAGCAGTAGCACGATGCATTAGCTTTAAAGCTTCTTTATAGTTTCTATGTAAAGAAAATTAGGACAATTAGAAAGTAGCAATATATTTTCAAAGGGCAAGAATGTAAGAACACGTAGATACAATACCCATGTCTAATTTCCATTTCTGCCCATTCACACCACACAGAAGCAAGGTCATCTACTTTGGTATATGGGACATGAGTAGCTTTCTCGAAAACTACCCTAGCATCTGCTATTTGTCCATTTTCTTCATAAAATTTACCAAATGCAACCCATAAGGTATGTAATTTGCCTACTGCTAATTGTGGTTGCACCGTTTGTACAGCTTCCGTATATGTATTAATAATCTAAAAATAAATTCAGTAATAACAATAAAATTCAAAGATTTTAATTTCTATTAAAATTTAATAGCAAGACTTATGTACCTCGTGTGGTTGTCCTTCATACAGCATAACTCTTTTATGCCATTCTTGTACATTATGAGGATTTTGTCTTAATAATACAGAATTCAGCAATAATAAACGTCTTTCCATTAGATGCTCAAATCGCGCTAGTCTCAATTCCAAATCTATGTCATCTGTACATACAATGTTACAAAATTAAAAACTACAAGATTTACGGAACAATAATACATGTATCTATACTTATACCATCTTCTGTAGGATTCTTTGTAGCTTCCTCCATACGTCTACTGAGACTAAGTTCTTCAAATTGTGCATATGCATCAAAAACTTGAGTGAAATCTCTGACAGTGGTTACTGTTTGTATTGCTTCTTCATAAATATCTCTTGCCTATCAAGAATAAAAGTATACAGTTACATAACTTTCAAGATCACCCAAATATATATTTTAATGTACAAATAATTGTTTAATACCCTTTCAAATAAACCGCTGCGGACATAATAGTCCGCTAATGAATTCCATAAAGGTCCTAACTGATCTGTGTAACGTCTTAAACCACCTCTTATAATAGCATCTACATTAAGAGATTTTATTTTAGAGGGATTTTTTGATATTAAGTCACATAATTCATTCCATAACTGATGGTTTGATTTTCCATGCTTTGATACAAAATCATCTTGATTAACAATCTGTGCTAGTTTTACAGCAGCTTCATCTAGCCTACCAATTGATATTAAATACTCTATATATTCTTCTGTATCTTCTGGGGCTAGCTAGAAACAAAATACACATTATTATTTATGTATATGTTAATAAAACTTTTAATTATAAAGTTTTATCATACCTTAAGATATCTTCTAAAAACTCTAATAGCAGTCTCATATACATTATGTTTTTTCAAAAATTCAATGTACAATGGCCATATACGATGATGCTGAGTGATAGGAAGAGCTCTGAGTGCACGATCAAAAACCTGCCTGGTACGTGTAATATAGCACTGTTCAGTCATTAATGTACAATAATCCATCCAAATCCGAGGCATTTTATGCATAAATACTAATGCACGTTCAAATGCATTATTTACATCTTCATAAAGAGGATCTGTTATGCATCTTCCCTTTAATTGACTTACTCGTTGACGTAGGTAATTGTACCATAACTTGTAACTGATAAAAATATACATTACTACATGATAAATTCTGTTTAATAAGCAATGAATACACATACCTTCCAGGAAGTTCTTTCAATGCCCGCTCATACACAATATTCAAATTACTGCTTTTTGTGCTTTTTAAATGATCTATGTAACGTTGCCAATGTTTCACAGAATAAGGATTTCTTAAAATTTCTTCTTCATATGGTAAATCCTCTTCATTCTGCATAAAATAGTATAAAGAAAATGATGTTACACTATGTAAAATGAATTGAGGTTATTCATAGTAAATATACTTACAAAAACATATAAATTTCCTTCTGGATCTTTGCGTTCTAACATCATTGAAAATATTAATAATGTTAATAAATTAAGTATAATATATTTACAATAGATTATTCTCTATTGTTTTGATATTATTTGGTTCAACCGCGTTATGCCAAGGCGCTTTTCATTAATCATGCGCTTCATTGATTACTGTACTTGTGATATAGCTTTTTATTTAGATATACATTAATATATTAACTATTTATAAAATTATAACTTTAATAACAAAATAATATACTTCATGTACTTTTAGTATATACAGAATATTTGACTGAAAAGAAATTGAGGCATTTATTATGCGTTCAACGGAAGAACACACTCGTTATCGGACGAGTTTTTTGTTCATTCGCTGAAGTTAGCCGCAATGTACATACAAATTGAGTACGATCTCCCGTTGAACGATTGCACAACCTGTTTACCTCGTTTTAGAATAAGACACTGGAGCGTGACAGCTGTCATATGGATAGTATGATCGAAACCGTTCTCTTTTAATGAAAACAATTTTATCCATGCTTGTTTTATCCGTCAAAAATATTAACTAATTACATTTTATTTGTGTTGTATTAATTGAGCTTAAACTGCGTTTATAAATAAACATTGTAAAGGATGACAATGGGCGATGAGACTCCAGTTACATCACTGGTTTTTCCTGTCATTTTAAGACCAATACTGATGAAGGTATTAAACATTCTTGTCACTTATTCATCCCAGTGATCTATAATAAATTTATTAAGCAACAAGCAAATTTACCAATGTACAATATTGCTCAACATAAATAAAAATGTTATTTTTATTTATTATCATAGTTAGAAAGGCAGAATGTATTGGCTGCTCAAACAGTGCGTACTGCTTTGTTGAAAGCTGAAAACTCTCATCCAGGAATTACACTTGATCTAATTCTTGGAATTATACAACGAGCAGAACTTAATCTGGATATGAATGAAAGTGTCCTAAGGTTGCAAGGTGCAGCTTCTGATTATGATGGTATAACTATGTTTCATATAGACAACATTCATTTTTAAACACTACTGCAAAACTTACTACTGTTCTTTATCTTGTAGTGGTAGAATATAGGTCAGCTCGATCTGAAGATGCTTTTCAAGAATTGAATCGTAAATCAACTTCATTAAAGAGAATACTTAGTAGAATTCCTGATGAAATAACAGATCGTAAAACTTTCCTTGAAACAATTAAGTATGAACTTATATTTACATGTTTTACAAATACTAAATTCTTGTATTATGTATTATCTACAGTGTATTTATAATATACTTTCTTATAGAGAAATTGCAAGTGCAATAAAAAAACTTCTAGATGCAGTGAATGAAGTTACTGCATTTATAAGCGGTTCTGCAGGAAAACAAGCATTAGATCAGAGAAAAAGAGAATTTGTTAAGTACAGTAAAAGGTTTAGCAATACCCTAAAAGAGTACTTTAAAGAAGGGCAGTAAGTATTACAAAATTTATATGTGCAATTATATATTTATCATTTTATGATAACTATCCTGTTTCAATTATTTTACAGAGCAAATGCAGTATTTGTCAGTGCACTTTATTTAATACATCAAACAAACATGATAATGCTCACAGTAAAAGATAAATGTGAGTAATGAAGACATTGTTGAGCAACACTTTTATAAAAATGAAGCTATTCACGGCAATTACAAAATTTGTAATATTCTAACTTTAATCCGTTTTGTTATGTATTTGATGATAAGATTTGAATGCCATTGCATTCAAGTAATATATATAGTATTATTTTGTATGTATTAATCGTTATAAATAATATGCAGATAGATCTATAGACATTGAAAAGAATTTAAATAAAAATTATGACTGTTTTTTTAATGCTCTGTTACATTATTTTATAACTGAGTAAATACTTTTATCTGAAATGAGTCATGAATGAAAACAAGTTTATGAAAGATAATGGAAATTCGATATAAGGAAGTCACTTCTCCAAATGTATAAGAAATAAAAATTACTTTATTGATAACAAATGTACACAAGTGTTATATTTCCCACATAGAAAATTGAATGACTTGGCTATCTACATCTTCATTGTATTAACAATGACAATGAGTAACAGTAAGGATTAATGGTAATTGTTGTAATGAACATTAAAAGAAAATGTACAAATTTTCAAGCACGTTTGCTATCTGAAAATGCTCTTACAATACTGCCAACACCACTTATATTGTATACTTTTTCGTGCCAGATTAATAAATGACTACTGCTACCTTCTGTTGGGATTTCAAATCCACGATATATATATTTCATTAAAACATCCACTAAGTCCCGATCCAATTGTGCTAAACAATCATCCATTTGATTAGTTTTTATACTTAGAAGAACTTTTAATGTCAGATTCCGTGCGCTATCCTGCAATATTCAATAATTGCTTTCAGAACATTACATATACACATATACTAGGAACATATACTAATTTATATCAATAATATAAAAGAATACTCTTAAATATATGTATAACACTTTCACAAAATAATAATTAGTACAAGATATTGAGGTTACCTTTACTTGTTGATTTTTACACCCAAGTGGTGCAGATTTTAATACTGATATCAAAGCTTCAGCATTCTTACCCTTGATTAAATATTAAGGAGAATATAAAAAAATACATTATAACAATATTATATGTAAATATAAGTCATGGAAAGGATATTGGCTAAGAAGTGTCAAAACTTCATTTTCGTCCGGACCGGTAGGTCCACCCAATCCTCCGTCAGCGTCTTCCTCTTTGAAATTATTATCGCTATACTGATCGACGTCAATTTTTCGAAACGCAGATGCTGACGAGTCCTTTTTACCATCGTTTCTTGACATTTTGACTGCGTGGTTGACGTTTTATCGCGATCACGCCCGGCTTATTAACTACCGCATTGAAATGAATCTTCATTGGTCTCCAAATCTATATATCTATATGGTGCATTTTCCAGTGGAAACTGTATCAAAGAATGTGCGATATCGACGCAAAAATTTATATAATTATTTTTACGTTATTACTGCATTTATTTTTCATAGGAGAAATATTTTATTATATACGGTAACTAACACAGCAGGTTTCCCTAGAAAAAACGGCGATATAGGGAAAGAAAGCCCCACCACTCGTTAGTATTTAGCTGGCAAATTTTCAAATTTATGAACTTTAAAATTTTAAAAAGGTTAAAATACTTTTGGTATATAAACAATAATAATTTTTTACGCAAGTATATAAAATATATAAAATATTAATTAAATTGCAATATTGTGATCCAGTATATTTATTTCTTTCTGTCGTGTAAGGTTAAGTTGCCGTATTTTGGTGGTAGTTTGCATGAAATAAATGAATTTTATATACTTTTTAATATCCTTATTAAAGTATGAATTATCCAAAATTAATTAGTCAATTGTACACACCAAAGATTGCGTGGTACCAAACGGACGTTACAGTAGTTATACGTATTTTATTGCAAGACGTTGATAATTATTTTCTTCAAGTTAAATGTGATCATTTATTATTTAGGTACTCTGTAAAATAATTTTCGCTATATTGTACTTAATAAATAAAAATAAATTTAAAAAATTATATTCGTATTTGTTTTATTTTTAGCACTACAGTAAATTCAAAACATTATTACATTTGTTTATATCTCTTTGGAACTGTAAAAGCAGAAGGAACAACTCACATAAATCTAGGAAGAGAAATCAAAATTACCCTTGTTAAGGCTCATAAATGTAAAATATTTATTTACTTATATTTTACACTGTTCTAAATTTATATATTGTATCATTTTTATGAAATTGATAGGGACTGAGTGGTTAAGATTGCATATTGACAAAGAAAAGAATCCTTTGATAGTTTTAGATCCAGACCATATATATAAAAATAAGTGGACATTCGCATCATTAAGAATTACAGGTAATTATGTTAGAACATGTATATTATGAATAGACACAATGATTTATAACTTTTATTGTACAATAACTTTATAAAAATTATTTTATAGAAAAAAAGGAAAGTTTTGCAGAGTATAAGCGTAGAAATAATATAACACAAATAATGCCAGATGTACCATCTAGCAGTGAAGAGGAATCTGATGACGAGGCAATGGACAAGCTGTTTTACCATTAAATGCATTATATAAAAAAGAGTGAATTATAATAAATTTGTTTTAAAAAATTAAGAAACAATTAGAACAGTAAACCAAAGTTAGAATAAGAATAGGATAAGGGATAATTTTAAGGACCGATGTAACTCTCAGGGAAAATAATGGACTACACATGTTAGTAATATTGCTCTTATCTTTGGCAGCAGATACTTCGATTCGTACACATCTGTATGCAACATTGCTATAAAGTACTATGAAGGTAATACAACTTAACTGGTGTGATAATACATACAGTATTAATACATGATAAATAAATACAGTGTGTAATTTAAAATAAAGTTGTTGCAATATTTTTCAATAAAGTATAAATTACACAGTTTACTATAATACCGCATAGTCTTATGAAGTATCTAAGGAACTAGAACAGGTATACTATATACTGTCTTTAAATGCTATAAACAGCTGATCACAATAATATCATAATACAGCTAATGTAAATCATTTCTAGGTGAACAGTTAATGGTAATATATTAAAATCTATTTTTACAATAAAATAACTACATTTAAACATCTAATACGATGTCTTTGTACTAAAAATGTAAATTTCGGTATTAGGTGTAGGACAAATGCAAATTTGAACTTCAAAATATTTAAAATAATAATATTCTGAAATCGTTATATGAGACTAATAATTTTGTTCTATAACATCAGTCAATTTTTATAGCGCTTGTATAACAAATATATTATTTTTATATGTAAAGATATAAATATGAGCATATTTCATTTCTGTAGCTTCAGATCATTGTTTAAATATTTACTTGTTACTGACTTGTTACTTTTAAATTTTCATTTAGGCAAATTAATGATTGATACATACAGTGAATTACACTTCATTGAAATAACAGTTCTATTTATCTCACTATTCAGAAAATAAAAAATCTATAAATACGGTTAAAAAGTAGTTAAACAAAATTTGTACAAAATATTTTACATATAAATTATGGAAATAGATAGAGAGTAAATGTTTAGTTTCAAAGGCGTACGAATGGATTATTATGTAACTTGCAAAAGGTATGAATAACGCACTGCTCGCATTCAACTTGATTTAGTTATGTTTTAAATCTTTCCAGTGAGCGAAACTTTCATTTACCATCGTCGCATTTATTTAACTACATTAACGATTAGTGTATATATTTAGTGCTACTATGGTATCTATTTAATTAGCAACCTTCTAAGGAAAGCCTTTGGTTTATGTTTTCAACCCTTATCTTCATTTCCCTGAGTATATCTTCAGCAAGGTTGTCAACAGTGGTGTACCTTACTTTAAAAAAATTAAATATATCTACAAGGAATTCAATAACTTGATCTCTAAAATAGTGACAAGTGGAATGTAAACTTCCTTCAGGGCCTAAAAATCCCCACACCAGTACCGGAGAGATTTGTTCAGAAATAGAATAAAAATGTGCCAAAAATCCTTTATCGTATTTCAACATACGCCTTTTACCCACGATCATTGTCCACACTGCAGTTCCAATGGCCTTAAACAAAACCCAAATAAATATCAGTAAACTAAATTAAAATCATTACATCTATTTATATACTTACAGTCTCACGAAAACTAGCCGATATCCACCTATTCTGTAAAATAGCTCTAATTGAAGAGGACGGCTTTTCAACTTCTTCGAACGCGTCTAACAGAATGAAATCAATAAGAACATCATAGAAATTCATACATTTAACACCTCTCGCAGTCAGTTCTTCTTCCATAATGCTATGATTACTTGGCTCTTGCAGAAACTCCAACATCCGTTCATAATGTATTAAATAATCTTTCGGATCCTAACAATGAAAATTATTAATCAATTATCTATATAGACTACTTTTAAAAATTAATTCTATTTTCTTCATAGAAGTAAATGTATGTTGTGTATACCCTGTCTGCATACATGATCAAATCGCTAATAACTTGTCGGCCTATGTCTGCAATCCAATTTGATGCGGATTGTATAGTGAACAGTTTTGTGTACGCTTGCCGCAAACAATACACTTTTGCTAAATATTCAACATCCGAGCCGCACTTCACGAGTTCTGTATGTATTCTCCTGCAATTACAAATAAATTGATAATGTAATGATCTTTGTATATATGGGACTCGTGTTATTTAGCATATTGTCGTTATTGCTTCAGCAATTGTTTCGGCGATATAACGCGAGACTACTGCATTAAAGAATTTGTAGTCCAAGTTTTTACCTGCAAGGGATACCTTTATCCTCGTGTTGTTTAAGAGCAGCATGATACAGTTTTTGTTTTTCAAAATGAGGAAAGAGTTCAGAAAATTCTTCGAATTCCCGTAAATCTGCTACCTGCATAAATAGAAATATTAGTCAATATTTATGACATTGCAGTAAAGTTTATGTTTTAACTCACCCCATCACGCGCAGATTCGAACGATTCCGGAGAAGACGCGGCGTCTGCTTTGTCTTTGCCGGATATCCGGGTGCCAATATTCGACGGTTTATGACTATCCAAACTCTCTTCGCTCTCATTGCGGAATAGTACCGAGTGCTGTAAATAAATTTATTCGTTGTTAAAAGACAACTTCATCAATATATTAAATATACTTTTTGTAAAAGAGGATCGACAGAAACGTGACTGAGCTGCTCAATTGCGAGAGCATTTTATACGCTTAGACTCGAATGACCGTAGTCGCGATGCCGTGAACTTCCTATGTAATAGTTCCTCCTTGCGTTAGGTCAAGTGACTCATTGCACTAATTACACGCGGTTATCATTTAAATTGGATTAATTCCTGTACTTTTTTACACGGGGAAAAAGCAATTGATGAATGTAGCGGAATGGAATGACAGCGAGTAGAAAGGATTGCAGGAGACAATGGAGAAAAGGAAGTATTTTACTTTCTAATTTATATTAAATATTAATTGTAGGTAATTCAATGACAATTATGTATACAATGACAATTATGTATACAATGATAATTATGTATACAAAGATAATGACTCAATATTTACAATGGTATTCTTAATCATAAAATAATTTCAAGAATAATTTACTCTGATAATTGCACATATTTTGAAAGCGTTCTAAGCATATTTGCATGAATATACATTTTAGTCAAATCACCTAAAACAAATTTATATAGTCAAATTACATATTCATCAATCAGTAAAAAAATTGCTGAATTACCAGTCTTGATATAACAACCTATATTTTTTCATTGAAATATATGCTACCGTAATTTTTTCAAAATAAATAAAAATGGACACCACTTTCAAAATACAAGATCCAATATATTTAAATAATTAAAGAAGTAAAAGGGAACTTACTTGATCGATAAAGAGAAGTTCTGCATGGCTCTGTATTTGATAGCCCAAGTCAAGGAGTTCCTGGACATCGTGCGTAAATGCTGCATCCGCCTTAGACGGTAATGCGAGTGTATCATTATTGAGTGAAGAGCTGAACGCCGTAAGAGCATCCTCCCAGCAATAGAGTGCTTTTTCCAGGGCTTCCAATCCTGCAACGTTCAGTTATATCTGTTTTACATTTGTCAGTTTTCATTCTCCTCCAACGCGTAATATTACAAACGACGAATTTGAACTCGTTTAATTCGTTGTGACAAAAACGCTTTCGTGTAACGACAATTCACGTGGGCACAGTGAATGTCACCATCATAGGTTCTGCTGTCGAAATCAATATTTTACATCCAAAATAGCATCGATTATCATGATCCAGAAAATGCTCACTAAAGAGGCTAATGTTTTAAAGCAGATCTCACAAGCAATTATGAAAGTTATCTTATTAACATTCTTAAATATATTTGTTATTTTATGTCGGTAAAAGCAAAAAGGACAAGCTAATCCGCTTATTTCTCGGAGGTTGTTGACGCTCACTCGATATTACGTGAATTTCAAATGCACTCTAAATATAGCCTCTAATGCAGGGTACATTAATATACATTATCGAATGCATTTATCCAATCACTCAGTGTAAGATACATTAAAAATGTCCGATCACGCGATACCGCGTGCTCTATTATAAAGGTTCAATGATTATCAACGTAGCGGCACACAGTGGCTGCCCGCTGTTTCGGTCCAGCAACGCGTCGAGGAAATGCTAGAAATATTAAGTGGGTAATAAAAAGAAATTTGTGGAAAAGATAACATACGTGATATTACTTATACATAACTTTGAGTATAAATGGGTTAATATTTTCAAAGGAATTAGCCGATTAATTCGATTCGCTGCGTTCTTAGAATCCACCTCTTTAACCGTACAAATACAGTTTCCCCGGTTTACTCCCATCGTCAATATATCTGTGTTCTCAATCTTGAACACATATATGGATTCAAGGTATCTATGATCTTTATTGCATCTCGGTTCTTTTTGCCTCTCGTTACGAATACTGTTACTTCTACGATTAGTAAGTTGCATGTACTATGTGTACAAACGATGTTTCGCTAGAGATAAATTTTCAATGCGAGCGCTGAACATGCGTCACGCCGTGGGAGTTCAGGGAAAAATAGATACTTGGAAATGTATAATTTTGTCGTAATACGTATAACTGTTATTTATATATTATAGCTAAAATTTAAAACGAAACATTTTTAATCGTGTTTGACGTTTTCCATATCTTCTTTAGTGTAAACTTTCAACTGTGTATGGTTCTCCTACGCTTACTATATCGCAAGGTCCACGTTCAATGCTAGGGTCTCGTATAGTTACGATCGAACAACATATAGAAAGGGATAGACGGATCTAACACTTTCACTTTCTTCTCAGTTTAGGCTTGGAGCGTGCACAGTTCCGAGATTCTTGTTTTCGTTTATACTGTAAGCAAGCGCCGACGCTTTCTATAGCATAACTGTTTCTTTCTAACCAGTTTTTTTAAGATGAGGATGAGAAATATTGATTCGACACCGATACGACATTTCGAAACCGGAATTTTAACCTTTTCCATGGCATGCGTCTGCACTTATTAAATTCCGTTTGATTAAAAATCAATACTAGTAATTAATTACATAGATACATTAATAAGATGTTACGTATGCTAACTACATTTTACGTATTAGTCATTTTGCGACGTACGTCCCAAATATAACCTCATTAATAATGTATTGTATGGAAAGGAACTTGAAATGATAAGAGTTAAAGATTGCCCGGAGTGCGTGGCCATTAAAGTAAGGAAAACAGTTTGAAGAGATGTTTTCAGACAACCAGGAAATGCCTTGACGAAAAGCTCAGACGACGAATGTCGCGACTTTGGTACTTGGCAGTCGCACAAGGGGCCGAGGTAAGTTCAACGACTGATTTTGCAACGCCAGAAGATTTACAAATGAGAGACCCTGTTGGCGGTCGTGTCAGCCAGTCAGCAAAGAGTTGAGGGGTTGAGAGCACCTACTTAACGTTGTCACACTGTCGCAGGATTTAAATTCCGAGTCGGTGACGACATTCTGCGTATTCAACGTTTTGTCACTTGCGATCGGCGTACACACGAAATTCGTCGAGGCGGAAATCGAGCGCGCCGCATCAATTAAGGATATCCACGTCGTAAAGGTGCACCCCATTATCTTCAATCTGTGACCAGAATAAACTTCGTCTGTACCTACGTCAATGATCGTCTATAATGTTCATTATATATTGGTACGGGCATAAATATGTATAGATTTATTAATTTACCGACATTATCGAGAAGAGTGGGCTAAAGTAGTTGTTATCCCCATTAATATATCGAGCAATATGTACGCGCTACATGACGTGCAAAAACCAATGGACCTCGTTCTCGTTCCCTTCAATCGGAATTTTGATTTTTATTTCAACTGTCACAGTCTAGAATAGGGGATGCACAAAGAGAAGGAAAAATATATGCGCAACAGAGGGAGCAAAGTTGGGGTGTTTCCCAGTAACGTACCTACACAACGATGAAATGAATGCGTTAATATGAACTCGGTAAACTGCATTTGGCTGATGGAATATAGGAAGAAAATAAAACGCAATGAAACTAATAAAAAGACTTACGTAAATAAAGTTACGCATACAGTTAATGATCCATATTAAGAGAAAACGATCCTTGGCAGTACGGTATATCTTAATTTGTCGTTCAATGCAAAAGAACCTAAAAACATTTAAGCAATAAAGAAGATACATCCATAATTACTTTAATATAAATCCAATAGTTGCAACTCGGTTATCAAAGTAATTGATGCACATTCGTGTATCAAAATGATACGGTAACCTACAAAGTGTTACACAAGCCATGTCATTCAACTTCATGATGCAACTTAAAGTATCCCTTATTTCAAGAAGCAGAGGATTCTACGTTGGTTTTATGACAAGGAGAGATTTCATGACGACTACCCTGGTACAGAGAATTCTCTGATCTTCCCATTAAAGAAAAGATACCCCGAAGAATCCAGCACTGCGATGCTGCCGGATGGTTGGCGTCAATAATACCAAAGTGACGTAATCCTTTTGGAGGTTCGTTATTGGAGGATGTGTCATCCAATGGGGAGGGGTCGATACGGCAGCTGGGAGGCGCGCGCGTTCTCAAAGTGTGTTCCAGGCACGCGTTGCGGCATCGCGGTTCGGCGCGCTAGTAGTGCGCTGCTGGAAACCACGTCGAGAAACGTTTGAGAGAGAGTATACTTTTAGGGTGTGTTTCAACTGAGCAAGCGAATGCTCATTTCATTCTTACTTCGATAAAACTCGAACGTAGACGAGCATTCTTTCACTGCTCGACAATCGTTCGCCAGATCGATGTTCGATGCGAACGAATGCTCTAATGAAAACCCTCCCATACCGAGCAATTCGACTCGACGCGATCCAACTCAATTCGATTCGATTCAATTCCACATGACTTAAGTCGACGTAATCGACATTTTAATTCGATTTGACGTTGTTTGATCTGATACGATTCAATTTGATGCACTCAATTAAATACAATTCACTTTTATATGATTTAAATCGAAAATGCACGGTTCTGATTTTTTTTCTCACTAGGAGCTTATGTACGTAATAATATAGCGGGTGCGACCATCTTTTGCGCATGCGTTCATGGACTAATAAAACCCACGACCATATCACTGATTTACGATGATGTAAATTGAAATTGACTATTACACGCGATTCGATTCGCTTTGAATTTGACCTAATTCAGTTCGATATTTTTTAATTCCCCGTTTCGAGCATTTGATTTAAGGTGTACGAATACTCGGCCGCATTCAGCTGTTTGCTCGACGAATGTTCGTTTCCTGCCAAACGAGCACGAACGAATGCTCTTGTTCGTTTTGTTAAAACGCACCCTTATGTGCAGAAAAGAGCGAGGGAGCAGGAAAGCAACACGAGAGAAACGAGGATCGTGAGAGAGTGAGCGCGCAGAAGAAGAAGGGAAGGTGGGACACATTGAGTCCTCGCGCTAGCGTCAGTTATTCGGCTTGCCGCTTACTTGGCGGGTGTAGTGTGCTCTCGTACTTCCGAGGATCGTATCGTACTACCGGGGGCCGTTGACACGCGACATTTACAAACGAAAAATAAGGGGGAAAAAGAAAGAAACTAACTTTGTAACACACGTTCTGTTCCGCGATACAGAATAAAACACACCGGACGACACCTAGTGCCCAGACCGCGTAATCCCGGTCCCATTGATGCCAGTATTCGGACGCTCGCATAATTAAGATAATGCAATAGTAAGTACGATTGTTTCCTTCTTTACGATTTATTGAACACGTTCGGTGTTTGACTGTGAATCGTTCGCGCTCTCGTTTGTCAATGGGACAAATGTCTAGGATGACAATAAGATTCTATTTGAACTATTATAACCTTTCGTACACGAAGAACAAACATACAAAACAATTCTTATCGATGTTTCATCAGATTATTCGGGAAGATAGAACGGCAGGAAAAGGAAACACCTGTTCCAAAATATTGCGTTATTCCTGACAAGACTAGACACACCGAAGGCAGGAAATATCGAAGCTTATACCGTTTCACGTTCCTCGTCTCTTTTTTGCGTTTTATTGATCTACCGAAACCATTCGAGATCAGGTATACTTTGTGTATAGGTCAAGTTCAGGGGTCAGTACATCGTACCCGTTGGATCTTGAATAAAAGTGAATGCCGTAAATGTAGCAATAGCACCGCACCGGCAGATCGATGGAGGTGCCTGGTGCGCTGGTGAACTTGGAAATTTCCCTAGCACACGCGCACTTCCTGCACCCATGATATTTGCGTATCCGTTATACAGCTTTTGCCCTATACACACGAGGGGGTATTTTACTTTCATTTAAACCTTAAAGCACGACATACGACAATTATTGGCGTCTTTAATGTATCAAGTTAGGTTAACGTATACACACGTAGAATAATGTATCGTACAAATATGAACGATTTTGAGTGTTCTCTACGAAATTCCCTTCTAATCAGAACAGATGTTATCGTAAATAGAATAGAGTAACTGAATCGAAACGGAACCATCTTGAAAAATGAACCTAAATAATCTTTGTATTGATCGCGTGACACTGAGGTTGATTTTGAAAACGAACCAAGAAATTAAATATTTCTAGAAATGATTATTTAAGAAGATTCAAGGGAATGGTCTGTTCGTACGAGGATGAACTGTTAGGTATTCTGTGATGAAACTAATGAAGTTTGTCAACATGTTCAGCATGTTCGTTCTTAAAGAGTTGAACTAAACTGGTCGAGCTCGTATTTCGACCAAAGACTCGTTGTTTCTATAGTATTTTTGATCAGAATTACCTCCGTAAGAAGTAATTCGTCGAAATACCGTGTACATTTTGTCATGAAGAAAAGTAAATCACAATGATCATGGAATTAGTGCACAATTTCCATCTACAATTTGAAAGTGGTAAATTGAAGATTGTGAACGGAGTCTATTTGCACAAATTACCCGCATTTCACGCCTACATCTCCGTTTTTACCGTGAAAAATGGATGATAGCGTTCGATAAACAACGTGACCTCGTAAACGATACGTGAGTAACACACGTGGATAATTGAATGGTACCTACGCTCGATTAAGTTAATGAAGATGCACAGCATAGAACGTTGAAAGAAACATAATCGCATCCGAGACAGTCACGCCCGATAAACAACGCAGTAATTATGCACGCAAAGCAAATTTTTTTTCATTAATAACAAACCGTACGATAATCACCGTTTCATTATCGAAATTAATCGAACGTTGCGAAAGATGATACGGTCTTAAAATGGACATAAAACCGAACGGATAGAAGGATAAAATGAAATTATTAATAGACCAAATGACACCTTTAAAATCGATTACACGACCGATGCATCTAGCACGTAGACGACCTGTCGATGCACGCAAATTCCACGGGTAACAAGATACATACATGACATGATCGTGTCATTTATTAGGTAATAGTGGATCCCCTGTCGAGGATGCTTCGACCCTGATGAGGCTAATAAAAGTGACATCATTATCGCTCGCCGCAACGAGCTTTTAACCTACGTGGCTCACTCTGATTTTCATAATCTGGTTCACGTCGTCATGATGCCCTGCACCATTAGTTGCAGCCATCTCTTATAACGTCTGTAAACTGTTAAGGGCACGATCAACAAATCGTTTCTTCTTGGTAAATCGATGGAGATCGTTCGCAGAAATTGAGTGCAGACGCTTTTAACAGGTTGACTGTCGCGTACGTCATTGGAGAACGATGCTTCATAAGCAATACAAGTTCATATTTAATAAAAAGTAAATGGGGGCAATTCATAAATGGCAAACTATTAGTTTAATGCTATGGGGATGATTGGTAATCACTTTACATCTTTAAATTCTTAGATAACATTATCCCTAGATCCACGAATAAAAGCGGGATCAAGTTTCGTTTCCAGAAAATTCTTAAACTCTAGAATCATTTCTATGTTCTAAATCCTAATATGTTTCGATTAAAATATCCCTAGATACTAGATTACAGTAGGCCTAGATATTAAAATATTACTGGATTACAATATTATCAGTCCACGATATCCTTAAATATCAATATCCCTAGATCCTAACATCACTAGATATTAATATCCGAGATCCAAATATTTCTAGATACAAATATCCCTAAGTATCAAAATTCCTAACTTTTACAATTTATACACCACAATTCCCTAGATCCAGATATCCCCAGATTAAAGAATCACTAGATCCAATTATCCTCAGATGAAAAAACCCTAGACACAGATATCCCCAGATCAAAAAATCCCTAGATGCAAATATCCTCAGACGAAAAATTCCTAGACCCAAATATCCGCAGACGAAAAATCCCTAGACCCAAATATCCTTAGAGAAAAAATCCCTAGATCCAAATATCCTTAGAGAAAAAATCCCTAGATCCAAATATCCCCAGAGAAAAATCCCTAGACCCAAATTTCCCCAGATTACAAAAATTACTAGATTGAAAATTTGAACTCTGAAACTAGAGTTTCTAACCAGATAAAAATTTCCCTAGATTTACAACTCTCTAGATAATTACATTGTTATATGCCTAGTATCGAAAGGAAAGAAGTTTAAATAACTTATTATGTTATTAATTTTGTAAGATGAAGAATTTAGTTTAAAAAATGGATTTATCGAATGTGGAATAATTATAAGCATAACGTGGCTTATTACGTAAGTCCAATTTCACTGTGGCAGTTAACGTGTTAATATTCTAGTTAACTTTCGTCGAGACGAGCATTCAAAGAGAGCATCCATTGTAGAACAGCAAAGAGGGTAGAAGGTGTACGTGCCTCCTACTCGGAGTTCGTCTCCGTAAAGTAGACCAATGGAGGTCACATTATATGGCCACGTCAGCTGCGAAGATCTTCTGTATCTCGATAAACCCGAGGTTCAGTGCCTGGCACTCTTCCGCTCGAGGTTTATCCTTAGAGTTGTTGCAGAATCGTTCGAAGACTTTATCAGACATCACTGAACGTCCGCCTACACGAATTAGAAGATTCGCTTCATGTCAATTGTTTCTTTGATTTAACGGTATTAAACAATTCCGCGTCTCTTCGTGATCGTATATGAACCAGTTTGGTATCGATCATACGACGATACTTTGCAAGTATCATCTGTCGAATTGTCTCTGACTTTTCCCGCGGGAAAGACATTTTGTCTCCGATTTTACTACATTCTCTCGACTTTCGTCTGGGACGAATTCCTAGACAATTCCGAATATATCCCCATAACTGTAGCTTCGAACGTCATCGAGCATTTGAATTCATTAAATATCATCGAGGTATTAGAACTATTTTGATAACGTCACCCTCGTAGGCGTCGTGACCAGCTCGAGGGCTCTCGTACACGCTCGAAACAATTCCGAGCGAGCAAACGGGGCAACGGAATTGAATGCTCGAGTATCTGGAAATGTGGTTGGAAAGTAGCGTAAGGTCGTCGTGTAAATACCGACAATGCGGCAGTGGCTGTTGGCAATTATTCATAGAAGCAATACGAGGACGACCGTCTTTGTGGCTCGTTAATCTTGCCGCGGATTTTAGTCGCTGGTAATAGATTATCGTTCGATCCAAATTTATTCTTATTTATCACCGATGGAGGCTCTAAATTTTATATACAATTGGTGAAAGAAGGGAAACTAGATAGTGTTCATCTCGTTATATCGCCGTTATATAACTCTCGTTATATAGTCGTAGAAAATATTTGAAGTTGATGGTATATTATGTGAGAAGATCTGATGTGTACATAGTATGTTTTGTGATATGATATGGTGATGGCAGTGGTTGTGCATGTGGTGATATAACGCGAGGAGATACAATGCGATATAACGTGTTGCAAGATGGATATGTATAATTTATTGCAATGTGATGCACTGATAAACGAGTTGTAATACAACTTGTCAACATATAACACGCTGCAACGCAATGATAAACAACGCGTCGACATACAACGTGTTGCAATACAACGCATTGTGATACAACGCATCAATACGTTGTATCACAACGTATAATAAATTCATGCACAACGTGTTAATATACAACTCGTAATATATTTCAAGAAACAACATACATATAACAATGCAACACATTGCAAAACCATGCGTGACAACACCACACATGAGAATACAACTCGAGGTCACACGACGCACTGTTACACAACTCGTCAGTATAACTCATGGTCACAATACATTATCACACACGGTATTATAATGTGTCTGTAGGAAGTCGGCAATATAACGAGAGTTCACAAGCTACTAAAGGTATAAATTTGAATATGTTCGTATCCTTAACTAGTGCTTCGGTCTTACTACGGATACTCGTGCATTACAGCAATTAACACGTTACGATCCGTAGAAGAATGTGGATACGAAACGCGTGAGAAACTATGGAGAAAGCTTTCGAATGAAGCATCCTAGCGGTTTTGTTTTTAGAATAGCGGTCTTTTTAAAATTGCAACCAGGTGAATCATCGGTCGAGACGATTCGCAAAGGATCGGAGCGGATAGGTAACAGAGAAAGGAACACAGGATCAACACCGTTATACCGGGAGTAAAACGTTCAGTCGTTTCCTGAACGGCCTTTGGATCTCGTTTTTTCCAACACTTTCACGAACGATGACGAAGTGGAATGGTCTTTTCATAACCTACAGAAGTCGAAAGGTTTTGTCGTAACGCCACATGTTTGCGTTACGAAGTGCAAAACAAAACCGTAGAAAGTCTCGAA